TATCCTAGTGAAAAGACACATCAGAAGAAATTGGGGGTTTGGAGACAGTCTTATTTGTAACATGTCCCAGACTTGTACAGTGGTTCCTTGAATTGCTTCTATGCTAGCCTAGTGATGTATTGTAGACTACAGTATTGTAGCCACTGCAGTGGTTAATTACTTCTCTGTAATCAATACTTTCTGGCCAAATGGTTAACTTCTGTTAATGACAGTGCTGATAGCTTTGAAATGTTCATTCCATAGTGCATTCTGAGGGAAGCCGAGAAACAGTGAAAACTGCTCAGTCCAATTTCCATTTTTCCCTGCTTGTTATATGATATACAAGCCAAGGGGCACTCAATGGGTTAAATTCCCAGGGCTTCCAAGACTCCTCAGTGCAACTTTGAAGTAATGTGAAGTTGCACCAGTGTACTCTAGAGGAGAATTTGGCCCATTGGAATTGAAGAGCAGTAAATTTAGAACTCACAGAAGGACTTACTTATTTGTCTGATCTATAGAAAACACTGGGGAGGGAGTGGTCATCTGCTGTGGCTGGTTGGATACCGTCATAACCACTAACAATGTGTCCTTCTGCAAGATAAAGGAGATGAATTCTTCACAAAGCTCAGTTGGTCATGAGTAAATTCTCTCCTTCGGCCCGCTTCCTTCCCGCGGGATTGTACAATTGTTTCCATGTGCTACAGAGGATTTTGCCATCCTTGGAAGCATAAATTCCAAGCAATACCGTAGGAGCAATCAATCTGAGCTCTGATCCAGTAGAACAACTTCTGGGTGACGAGGAGCTTTGAGACACATCACCAGTGCCTCCTCTTCCACCACACACCCGACCAACCCACACTCATTGCTCAAGAAAATAAATGATGGCCACCTCATGCCAGATGTAGTGTTGGCAGGGGCTATGCAAGTTGATTTTAATCATGACTGGCTGCATCACTGCTTTTGCAGTGCTAGTGCCACTCTTCCCTGCTGTCGAAGCAGTCATGTAGCTTAGTCTACTCAGCCCTTGACTGCCACCAGCTAGAGTCATTTCACTTTTAACCTCAGTCGGTTTTGAGCTAGAGAGGAGTCTGAACCTAGATCCCACATTTAGAGACCACTGAGCTCGGGATCTGACCCGTACAGGTGGCTCACACTTCTTTTCGCATCACGTGCTATGGACTGAAATGCCTGATGTGTAAGGATGATTGATGGACAATATCCAAAGCCTGTTCCTCAAATGTTTCTTTGAACTTGGAGGGCTGGCAGGGTCAGCCTCACTGGGGACCTGCAGCGTGGCAGTGCCTGTGGTGAATTCTTGGCAGGAAAAACAACACACATGCACCTTCCTCTGTGGTATTGTCCCTCACCCTGCTACTAGTAAATGTTTGCTTCTTCTGGAAACAAGTGATGGCCCTCAGTGCTGTTCTGTGGGTGTTACTGTCCCTCCCATCTCCAGTGGATGAGGCAAGAGTTGAGAAGAACGGAATGCGGATGGCATGTGACCCATTTCTAGCTGATGGCCCAAGATAGATGTGTTCTAATATTTCTTTTCAGTGAAACATCATGTACGCGGCTATGTAAAATAGGATTGCTGACAGTGTGCCAGGTTGCCCGGGGTGCCAACTGATGAGCTGAGATGCCACCGAATCAGCCTATTTCGCCATCCTTAATCCCTTTTACCTGGTCTTTCTGGATGCGTTTAAACTACAAAAAGATTTTTTGAAAGAGGAGATTCTTCTGATCACATTTTCGAAAGAGGATCTTTGGAAAATGAAAGTAGTCTGGACGTGGTTCTTTCGGGGGTGGATGGGACCTTTTCCAAAAGAACCGCATAAACCTCATTTTTTTAGATAGAACGGTTCTTTCGAAAAAGGGTTTTTTTTTCCAAAAGAACTCTAGATATTATTTCGGGTAGAGTCCTCCACAGGCCAGTTACCTTTGCAGCCTGGGTCTAGCAGTTCTCTTCCCTCCTCCCTTGGTTCAAGTCCTTTTGTTTCTGGGTATTTTCAGATATCTCTTTGAGGTGGGGAAGCAAAGGTGAAGCAAACTGAAGACCATTATTTTCTCCTCCCCCAAATACAATTTTCATAAGGTGGGAACCCTTTGTTCGATTTCCCCACCTCCTAGTAGAACAGTTTATCAGGTGAGTACCAGGTCATCTTACTCTGTGGCAGTAAAAATGCAGGAGTCAGTGGCAGTGGTGTGTAGCCTCCCCAGGAAGACCAAGCCTATTCACAGCCCCTTCTCCTTGCTGATGGGCCATCAGCCCTGTCTGGTTTTTCCATTGTAGTCCCTGACATGCTGGCAGTGGGAATGACTCAAAGCAGCAGAGTGAAATACTGATACGCAGGTGCCTCTCTTCAGGTACAAAAAAGAATGCATGTGTATACATAGAGTAATCATATTTAAAAAAATTCACATTTCCAAATGATACTTCATATGAATTATTGTACAGGAAGCATATTTCAGTTATGGCATGTTCATATCATAAGCACAAAATGCAACATCACAAACAATAACGATAGTATTCGGGTGCAGTTTGCTTCTGATCATGAATGTGGAAATCCAAGATCAAGGCTGGTTTATCTTTACCTATGAATACACAAATCACATTGTCTACAACAGAATCATTAATGGGTCATAAGTTGCTAACTCTTCTCATATAGTTATCAGAGGTATCTCCCACTTCTAAGCACAGAGAGTAACAATTAATTTCCAGTGAGTCTGACGCTTTCAGTGGTGCTCTGCAAAATGCTGGATTTTTAATGCGGAGCCATTCGTTGTGTCTTCTCCTGACTGGACTGTGGCCTACTATGCCCTGCACAATTAGCCATGCAAAATGTCCTGGTTGCCTCTCCTCTTGTCATCAGTTTTACGATGTGTTGTCTGCTTTGTTGCTGTTGTGTTGGATGGGTTGCAGATTCTTTCTTAAATGTTGATACTGCAGCAGCTGACTTAGTGTTGGCTCTTTACTGTTTGTTGTCTTCAGTGTGCTTTCCTTCCCATGAAGAAGTGGTTTTCAACAGATACAACCATGCTAGCTGCCTTACATAGGCTACACAATTAAAGCCTGTGTTACCACACATCCATGACTAGAGATGTAAAATCCTGTTTAATCAGCTAACCACTTAATAATAAAGTTGAATCAATTAATCGATTAAGCGGGATTCCATAGGGGGGAGCTATAAGGCTGCCGCTCCTGGCCCTGCCTGCTCCACTGGGGTGCCACTCCTGGGTACTGATTAACCAGCTACCGGTAATTGCTTATTCTGTAATCGGTTAACTGGTTACCCGTTCACATTCCCTACCCATGACATAGTTCATACCGGTTGGACACTCATGAGCGGATACCGAGGGTAGACTGAAAATAGGTCAGTGCCTCCAGTACTGTAGGAACATCGCCTGTGCCCTGTGTGAGAGCTGACTGGTAAACGCCCTACCCGTGATGGGGGATTAAGAAGAGGGAAGTGGCCTGCAGCCTGTTGGTTCCGTGCAAGGCTGAGTCACTCCCCTTTGGAATGGCGCCTGCCAAGTGCAGATGCATCGTGCAGGGGAAGGCAGGGTGTGGGGCACCATCCCTTCTGCGCCCCTACGCAAGGTGAAAAGTCTAGGTCTCCTCTGCAAGGGCCTGATCAGAGCAGGTGGATGTTGCTGGGCATCTTTCCATTGACTTCAGTGGGATCAGGCCCTAAATGCTTCTTGGGCGAGGCTGGCACCACAGTCTTTCCGCACTGCACACATGGGCTGGATAGGTGTGTTCTGGCAGTGAGGGGATCGGGGCTGCTAAAAAAAGGAGTCCATCTCATGGACAGCACTGTAGTGCCTGATGGACATGATCAATGTAAGTGACAGTTTATGGGCTTTGGGGGAGTGCGTTCATAGTAGGAACAGGTGAATATTTTAACAGCAAGAAATATTTTTACATTTTACAAATTAGGGACGTGAAATCCCATTTAATTAGTTAACCAGTTAAATGTAACGTTTAAAGGGGGGGTAAGTGGAAGGAGTACCCCCCGCAGCTGGGCTGAAACGCCTTCCCGTCCAAGTGACAGTTTATGGGCTTTGGGGGAGTGCGTTCATAGTAGGAACAGGTGAATATTTTAACAGCAAGAAATATTTTTACATTTTACAAATTAGGGACGTGAAATCCCATTTAATTAGTTAACCAGTTAAATGTAACGTTTAAAGGGGGGGTAAGTGGAAGGAGTACCCCCCGCAGCTGGGCTGAAACGCCTTCCCGTCCGCCTCTCCCTCCCCCCCCCCACCGCGGACAAGGCGGCGCCCGTC